CCCACACTCACACACACCCCAAGTAGGTATTACAGGCTTCTGGATTATATCTTTTCATCTAGCTATAAATTCTGTTTGATATAATATCAGGTAATCAAGTTGGTCTTCAGTTAGGAGACTAGATCAATAAATATACACAGTTAGCAAAATACATTCCATAAAATATGTCTACTCTCACACCCCTCCCCCATCTCTTCCCCACACACACACTCACTTTATTCTCATTTTTTTTTCAGTCTTTTTGATGGTGTTTAAAGGCAAGTAGAAGAATTGGTCCCAAAAATTGAAAAGTAGTTTTGATCCTAAAAAACAGAGAGCGCTTTGTTTTACAGATCATGGCGACTGTGAGTGTGGTGAATGCGTGTGCAGGAGCGGCTGGGCTGGCGAGTACTGCAACTGCACAACCAGTACGGACTCGTGCCTCTCTGAAGATGGGGTGCTCTGCAGCGGCCGAGGGGACTGCGTTTGTGGCAAGTGTGTTTGCATGAACCCCGGAGCCTCAGGACTGACCTGTGAACGTTGTCCTACCTGTGGCGATCTCTGTAACTCTAAACGGTAATGTCTTTACCTTCTTAAGTTCCTTTTTTCCATAGGTTTCATGATGATCAAAGTTATAGTGACATTTTATAAACTCAGATCTCAGATTGTTTTTGCTGGGTTTGGTTTCTGAGCATTCATCAAAACACAAACCCGCAAGGCCCCTGTGATCATTAGCCTGGAACACCGGTCTCTCACTTGCCTCTCTCAGTCCTGATTTTCCAGGACCACAATGGCACATTTCTGCTAGAGACTACCAGGGGAAGCTGAGATGATGTCCCACACTGATAACATCAGATAACCCCTCTGTTACAATACCAGCCACACATAAAGAATACCCTGGAGGTACGTTGACGACACCCACATTCAGTACTTTTTCAGGGGAAACAGACAAGCTTCTTTTTTTATCTAGAAGTTCATAGCCTGACCTTACTGATTCATTCCTATCTATAGACTCATGGAAGCAGAGACAGGAAGACAATCTTGGCTTTTAATTGCTTCCTTCTTCTTTACTACTCATGCTCTTTGGCACCTTTCTTTGATTTTCATTCTACACAGCTATTGGGTATTGTATTTTCTTTTATACCATATGAACAACAACAACAAAAACAAAACCACGTTTTCTTATTTTCCAGTAAAAAAGACTACTTCTTTGCTTGGCAGCTAACTTCTTAATGGAAGTGGGCAACATTTGTAGGTCAAATGAAGTAAATCTCCAAATTGGCTGTGTTGCGACATTGTGTGATGTATTATGCAGCAAACATGCTTTAGCAGTTCATATTTTCATTAACTCTGCTACCCAAAATGTGGTGACATTTGCATTTCCAATGTAAATGAAGTAAGAAAATCAATATTCACTCAGTGGTTATTCACCATTCACATGTTGAAACTTCTCCATCACTGGACTTATGCCGTGAGAAGAATGGGAGACATTGTTAGACTTATTTGAATAGAACTTAATGGAAAAGTCCTTCCAAGATGTCTCTTCTATTATTTTTCTATTTCATCTTCACTGGAAACACGATTCAATCTTAAATCTGGTTTATAAGATAAATTAATAATCAAAGTAGTTTGAATTTGAGGAATCAGGTAGAGTGATTTCCTTGGTGTTCATGTTAGTTCTGAAATGAGTTCATTCTTCCATTTATTCATTCATGCCTTCATTTATCAAATAGATATTAAGTACCTGCCGTATGCCAGGAAACATGTAAGGCCATGAGCATGCAGTGGTGACTGAAACCGTTCTAGTTCCTGTCCTCACAGGTGCTGCGAATCTAGTGAGAAAGACAGATATTTAAAAAAGTAATTATGATGATATCTGGGCTGACAGTTACAATGGGAGATACAGAAGGTGCTATATGGCAGGAACTGTATGGCAGGAGATAGGGCTACCAGACTAGCCTGGGCAACTATCAATTTGATGCACAATGGAGTAGGGATTCTAGAGTTTCTACAGTCTCCAGCAGCTCTCTGCAAAGCCACTCCAAATAAATATATAACAATAATAAATGCAATGTGCTAGCAATACAAAGGCAAGTTGCAGACAATACTTCCATCTCCACTACCACAGAGGTTACTGTTCCTAAGCCCTTCCTACAGAGGAATTCAGAGGCTTTCACTGCAAGGGGACTAACTGGTAAGAGCCAGGGAAGACTTGCCTATGGAACTGTGGTTTGGGCTGAGATGTGATGAGGCATGGGTGTGGGTATAGAATGTTTCCAGCACTCAGAAGAGTGTTCATTTCCACGGCCAGAGGAAGAAAGAGGCCACATGATGTGTGTCTGAGGTAAGAAAACTTTTGCTGTTTTAGGGTACTCTAAACAACCTGTTTCTAAAGTGATTTTCAGCACAAGATTAATTCAGCATCTACGTTTTACTTTGCTATATAGACATCGTCAGAGTAGCTTAATTCCTGGGCTGTGTTCTTGGAAGTATACTTGTCTATAAATAGTGATCTTTTATTAAAAATCCCACATTAATGAGGATCCGGGCTGTCATCCTCAGCTTTTGAAAATACCCCTATCAAGGCTTGGATTCATTCAAAAGAGTTACAGAAAAGTGAATCTTTAAAATAGTAATTCATAACATAATTATGCATTCTTGGAATTTTTGTTAAAATACAGACCATTTCTTTTAAGAAATTCAAACTTTGTCTAGACTCTAATTATATTTAACACCACAAACCCTGCTCAGGAAAATATAAAATAAAAATGTAGCTAAATCAAATACCAAAATAATTGGGGATTTTTATTGATTTTTTTTTTAACTTAACCAATCAGGAGCAATCATTAGAGACAAATGAGGATAGTAGCTATTAATGAGGTTGCCCAGGGAACATTGATTACTGAGTGGAATTCACAATAAAGAAGTTTCCTCTTGCATGAGACCAACTATCTTTCTGAAAGTAACAAAAGGTACCACCGTCCTCCATGAGACACTCCTATAGCACCAACCACAGTAACCGCATTAAAGCAACATTCCAGCTGCATATCTATTTTCTGTCAAGATAAACTGATAAACTCTTGTTGAATAATGTTCACAGGAGCTGCATTGAATGCCACCTGTCTGCAGATGGCCTGGCCCTAGAAGAATGTGTTGACAAATGCAAACTAGCTGGTGTGACCATCAACGAAGAAGAAGGTTCTACTTGTCTTAAATTGCTTTCCTTTCCTCTACGTATTTCTCGAGAGGCAGAAACTCTGTGACAGACTTTCCAGTAGTTCGACTTCATTTGTACCAGGGCATTAGTTCACTCACACTGCTTACTAAGGGTAAATGCATTCCATAAGGCTTAAAACCTGATGGTTTGGGATACAAGCAATTTAAAGTCACAGATTCTATTTGACTTCAGCACTGTTGGCAAGTTCACCTCTGTTTCACAAATGCAATTGTCGAGAATTCCAGAATGTTACATTCTTTTGATTAGAAGAAAAGAAAATTGAAGAAATATCTAAATGTTAACCTCAAACCTGAAATTGTCCCCTATCATCTGATTGCCCTATTTCAAAATAGGACAAGTGAAGTATAATACGGCTTTCCTGATAGCAGCCCTCAGACACCGGGCAATTTCTGGTTGGTGGCCATTTTTCTTCCCCTTCTCTTTGTATGCTTTTACTCCCAACTTTTCAAACATGGGCGTTACATGGCAATCTTTAATTTTCCTTTGTCTCATCCCCCAAATACAAGAAGGACCTGTAACTTTTAACTGCTAAGCAAAGCCTGTAAAATAATTTGTAAACTTTAAAACAAAGAAGATGACTGACTCCTCCTAAAGAGATGATCTGAGGGACTAGTTTTTCCATCATCACAAACTCTCTGCATTATCATGCTGCTCAGGTAGAGCTGCTGCTCTGTACGCATTAGTGATGGGACCAAGATGTATCTCAGGCAAAGTGGCATAATCAAGACAATAATTTATGACACTCTAGGATATTTGTCTTGAATAGATGGAATTAGAATGCAGAAATTAATCCAAAGTGGAGTAAGTTAGTGACATTTATATTGTTTTGAAAATTACCTGCATTGTTTCAAAATTGAGATATCTGACTGTGCACAGTTGAATAACCCTAAATGGAGGTGCAGCATTATTAGTGCTCGGAAAACCTCTCATCTGTGCTTTTCTGGAAAATATGCCAAATAGCTGTAAATTGGACAAAATGGTGTGTACCTTACACTAATACCAAAGGTAAGATGCTGTAAAAGCACTGAGTAAAGTGACGTTTGTGGACTGTCCATGTTAGTAAGTATTACGAAGTCTCAGCATATCCTTCCAGCTTCATTTCACAGCAAACATCTGGGATATTTACCAGGTGTTTCCAAGAAATGACTAAAAATTGCAGAAAATGCCCTGCAAATTACTAGAACTCAATTCAGTAGCAGCATGGGAAATCTAATGTGCTGAGGGGAAAAAAAGGAATGAACCTTGGAAACATGTAAATCATGGACAGGGAGTTACTTTATTTAAATGATACGGTTTTCTAAGTACATTATCATAAATGCTTGGATTTGAGAGGAAGACTAAGTCTCAAGTGGCCTTTAAAATATTTGCATTATTTTTTTTTGTATAATTGACTAAATTATCTTCAGAAGAGGAGAATGCAGCTATTTCTAACTTAGAAATTATAATTGAATTACTAATACCATTTAAAGCACTAATCTTGATGAATTTGAGAAAAAAAATATTGGTCAGCCTGTGAATTAAAAGCTCACTGTTCTAGTGAGCCTTTATAAGTCTTATTTCAAATTACTCAGTTACGTTAGTGATTGTATCACCTTGAAATGATCACAACATAGTTGCTCTTCCACAGGGTCTTTTATCAGCCCATCCTTCCCACAATGAGGACATGGAGAGTAAAATAACCTTATAATCCAAATAAATTGTTTCCCAGTCGTGCTGTGGGGACCGGTGTGAGCATTTCTAAGGACATGTGGTTTAACTTTATTCAATCCATTTTACTAAAAGAGACATTTTTAATTTACCCGAAGATTCGTGTACTCAGAGCATTGTTAGTCAAAGTGTGTTCTGTGAAACACACTTCTGAAAACATTAAATGGAAAGAAAACACCCATGGTCATATGAATTTTGGAAATGGGAAGCTAAGCTTTCAGTTTTCTTGCGGGACTCCCGAGAGTTCTTATGCATATTAAATTAAATGTCCGTTGCGAATTTTTAGGAGAGGCAAAGGAAAGAATTAGAGTAAGAAGGGATTCCCAAACTTATTTGACCGCAGAACCCTTTTTTTCTTTTTTTCTTTTTTTTTAGCTTGGGAAACTGTTTTCTCTGAAAACTACTGACTTGGCCTCGGAGCCGAAGTCTTAAACACATAGTTATCTTGATTCAGTGGTGCAGACAGTTTATATTTTCCACATTTTTCTTGAGCCTTCCTAGACTCCAGTCTCCTCACCCCCACTCTCACATTACTTCCTTTTCTAAGTATGATTTCATGGACAGCTTGAGATCTTATTTTCATTGTATTATTCTAGAACAGCACTGCTGGCATTCATCAAGGAGGGTAAAAAAAAAAAAGATCCATTTCTTATGAACAACAAAAGAAAATCTTAGCAGCTAATTATGCAAATCTTCAGCCCAAGCTGGACCTTTTCATTGCACATTCAATAATACCATTTTAATACCCAAACACTATAAAACAGGCTAAATCTAGAGTCCTAACAGTCATGAAAAGGACTGAAGTAATTAAAGCAAGAAGGGAGTCATGACTCAAAGGTCATATTAGCAGTTCCATTAAAACTTAAATAATCCTGGCCAAGTAAATTAAGCCTCCCTGGCTTCAGTGTAGCTATTTAAAAGAAAATAAAAAAGCAGGATTAATATTACTGAAAGGGGTATTATAAGCTGTCCACATATTTTCTACCTGAGAATAAAATGTTCCATTAAGTAAGTTTGAGAGGAACAGAGTGGGTGTGCACTGTCACAGCGGAGAGGGGGAGGGAAGGAAAAAACCCACTCCAGCAGGAAAAGCATATTCCCCAAGACTTCATGAATCCTAGTTAACTGCAGTGGTGTGGTAGGAGGACATGTGGTGAAGGCCATCTGAAAATGACCAAAGTATAAATTTTATATGCAGTGCCCTTGCTATCAAACATGTGAAATAACACAAATTTCACTAATCAAGTATTGCCTGGAAGTTCCCAAACCTCTCAATCAAAATTGCCTTATGAAAAATACTATTAAACAACTCATAAAATACTGAGGCCTGTGTATACCATGACCTCTTGAATCATTCGCCCAGGGGAAGGTCCCTGAAAGCCATATTTTCAGATCTCCCAGGTGATTTAGATGATCATAAAGATTTGGAAATGACCAAATGAGAATGATTTATAATTAGATTTCTTAGTATCCTTATGTAAGTAGATGCTTCTAATGGATTCAAAAACAGTTTGTTCATCTAAATCTATCATCTGAAATCTTATTAGTAATGTTACATGTTTTACTAGTCCTCGTTTTTATAGATAATACAGGCATACTTCTCATAGACCCTGACATGAGGTTTTTATCTTCTAGACTAAATTCGAAACAACTTAATATTTCTATCTTTCTAAGACTCTTGCATTGTTTAACCAAAAATAGCCTGTTATTTAATATGTCTTGGTTAGAGTCAGAACAATATGTATAGATTCTGTTTTATTAAAATCTTTTTATATTTAAGCTAATAAGAAAAATTTTAAGTCTAGCAAAAGTATGTCCATGATTTTCTGGGACAGTCTCAGTTTTAATATTCTGACTCATTTAGTCATAGTATACTAATATTGGGTCATCTGTCTTAACATTTTAGGTTAATAGTAAATGATCATTCTATTCATAGGTTTCTGTAAAAGTGTTCGTAACAGTATCATTAAGTCTCCAACTTAAAAGGGGAAATTTAAGCAAGATTTTTTTTAATTAAAAAAATGCTACATAATTTTGGTATAGGTGCCAAACTAATAGAATTTCTAGTAAATAGTATTAACATCTCAGATAGACCATTTTACTATATTTCCAATTCTGTCATGACTTTATTTCCTGCCTCTTGAATAAGCTCAACAAGAAAAACGTTTCTATTTGGAAAAGATTTTAGGAAAACTGGATTATGTTTAAAAAAAAAGATTAAGAAAAGGACTATGCAAGATGGTTAAGCAAACTGGGTTTCTTTTAATCTGAGGTTTACCTTTATTCCGTTTGTCCCTGAGTTGCATGACACTTCAGTCTCTGTTTCTCGATATGAATTTATATTTATTGTGTGACGATACATGGCCAGCAGTCCTGACTATGCCATTGTGGGAAAGGCCCTGTTAGAAGTATTGGTATCAGTTTGGACTGTGTAGTCTCCTTCTGAAATGTAATCTAGGCTTCCTCCCAGATGCTCTCAGCCAAGAAGAACATACAGCCCCCTCATTATCATAATCAGGGCCATTCTATTCTCAAGACAGCTAGGCATACCTGCCTTGCAGTACTTTCACTCTATGAAATCCTGCCCCCATCAGTTTGATAGGTGCATTTGATGGTCAGTCCTGATTGACCAGACCTGGATCTGTTCTTCTGGAACATGAGTAGAAACTAAAACCTCTGCTAGTGGGAAAAATTCTATGTCTTTTCTGTTCCTATCCTGCAATGTTGAAAATTCCTATTTGCATATTAAAACTCAATACTACTTTAAAAATAATGTCTTTGGGGATCTCATTTAACCTAATGAATGACTCCTTTATCAGCAGATTTCTCAAAGGATAGTTCTGTTTCCTGTTCTCTGCAAGGAGAAAATGAATGTCTTATTACATTCCTAATAACTACAGATAACGAAGGAAAAACCATCATTCATAGCATCAACGAGAAAGGTGAGTGGCATGCCTTCCATTGTCATTGGTAAGTGATAGTGCATGAGAGAGGAGAAAACAACCAGAAAGATACTTCAGGTAGCTTGCCAGGACAGACATTTCCAAATTTTTGATGAGGTGCCTCTACTTTCTCAGTGATTGAAAGATACCTACTGAAAAGTTTGCTATGTTCCATTGTGTGTGTGTGTGTGTGTGTGTGTGTGTGTGTGTGTGTGTTTTATTATGGAAAAATAACAAGATAAGTGTATTTGTACCAATCATCCTCTCCTAGAAAGCTACTAATGAATTACAGAAAGGTAGACAAATGAAATGTAATATAATGTAAGCAAAAGATATATCTTTAGAAAAGACTAATAGGAAAGAGCATAACAGTCTAAGAGAATGAGTTTTGAATCAGGCAAACCCTGGCTCAAATCCTGCTCTACCACTTAATAGCTACATGACGTTCTGAAAGATACTTGCCTCCCTGAGTCTCTATTTCCTCATCTGTAAAATGGGGAAAATAATAGTACTTTCTTCTAAGGGTTGACTCAGGGCTTAAATGCAATGATGAATAGAACACATGTGACAGTTCACAGCCTACAGTCATGGGTCATTAAATGATAATGCTGACTAAGAAAAGATATGAAGCAGAAAGCGAAGAAGAAAGTGATCTATAAAGGCAGTCAAACAGTCCATTGCTTCTGTGGCTTTTCATCCATACCAGCTCACGGAGTCTGCTTGGGACTTGGGAAGCCCTCAAATAAAAATCTCGTCTTCAGTGGAGAGACAGAAGTTTTACTAGGTAGAAAATAAAATAGTAGGAAAGGGTCTACAGCCATGCTACCCTGAACAAGCCCAATCCCATCTGATCTTGGAAGCTAAGCAGGGTCTGGCCTGGTTAGTACTCGTATGGGAGACCACCTAGGAAGACCAGGTGCTGTAGGCATAAAATATAAAAAAATAAGGGATTGTAAAATGACAAGGTCCTTGCAATCTGTGAGGTCAACCAAGGGTTGCCTCGCCTAA